CCAACCATTACCATCCAAACAGCCAGAGAAAATGTAATGGACGGCCCCTGCTTTATCCTGAGATACCCCCAGTGGGAAAAGGGGTTTAATAAAATGAAGATGAAACCAAATCAAATTTGATACTCTGTTATATCAATGTAATTAACACCCACACACAGAAACTCTCTCTAACACACACACACACTCACACACACACGTAAGCCACACACACACACACAGACATGCGCCTCGGTGCTCTGTCGACACCCTTGTACTGCAGAACGGGATCAGTGGCCAAGCGTATGATTATACTCAAGTCAAACAGTCTTAACATATCCTTCCACCAATACCTCCTCTAGTACGCTACCATGGCGATGGTCCAGGAAACATAATAAGACCATTAGCTTGATGATTGACTGCCTTCAAAATCTTTCATCCAATTGGTAGCTCCGAGCCATGCAGGACACATGAGTCTCAAGGCTTTTAGTGACTTTTGTGGTCTTAGATGTTGCTCTGTTCCAACAGCAGGTGCTATGTCATGTGATTGGAATTTACCCTGAATGTGTTGTAATGCAGGCATAAATGCAGCATCAATGCAGGCATACTGGGTAAATGTGTGGCTATCAAACACTGATAAGCCAACTGCAGTTACATTAAACTACCTTCATCGGTATGTCTTGGAGAGCAGTTATGACAAGGAGTTTCATGACCTGTCTCGACCAGGGAAAGTTCACTAAGGTAAAACGAGGGCCCTAGGTGTAATTCCATCTCAAACAAGTCCATAAAATGAATAATAAATGTTATGCATGTAGTCGATCTTGAGAAAGCGACTAAACAAGATGTTAAACACAAATGCACAACTTGGCGCTAGCCTGAAAAGGTTGGGCCAAGTGCCCCTTCCGGAATCTCGGCCAAGACGCTAGCTCTGGGGGGCAAGTCAAGACAAAACCTCTGTCTTGCCACCAAGCTTCACTACTAGGAGTTGGCTTGGAAAACACATTCGTAAACACAAAGCTATGCCAACCAACTACGCCACCCTCTCCTCACTGTTGGTGGGTGCAGTAAGGGGGTTGCCGAACAACGATATTCTTCCAGACGAGTGGATGTTGTTGACTAAGGAAGTTCATTTCAGTTCAGTTCAATTGATTTCAGTTTAGTTACATTTTTTTCAGTTGAGTTGAGTTCATTTCAGTTCAATTCATTTCAGTTTATTTCAGTTTATTTCGAAGGGAGGAATCCATCTGTACCAGCATATTCCTTCGTTCAGGTTGAGGAGACACGTGCTTGAGTCTACTAAATGTACTGCAATTATTGAAAATAATTATAAAATGATGGTCTATACAGTATGCCTACGGTATGGCAACTAGGCCTTATGACGTACATATATCAGTGAACAGTTACTTACTAATTGTGTATGGAAGACTACCAACGAAGTGCATTGCTGGAAGCATCGACTTAAAAAGCGATGGATGAAATAAATTATCAAGGATGAAAATCCCTTCGGAAAGTGCCTTCTATGATAGTAACAATCAACATGAGGCACAGTAATGGCAGCCATTTTGGATCCAAACTGGCAGGAAGAAGGAACCCTGCCATTATATTCATAAACACCACTGAGAATGAGAGACAACACTTAGCCCATCTCTCTTCCCATAGGGAGTCTAGGCTAGTATCCACCCAGGGCTAAGGCACACAGACAGACAGACAGACAGACAGACAGACAGACAGACAGACAGACAGACAGACAGACAGACAGACAGACAGACAGACAGACAGACAGACAGACAGACAGACAGACAGACAGACAGACAGACAGACAGACAGACAGACAGACAGACAGACAGACAGACAGACAGACAGACAGACAGACAGACAGACAGACAGACAGACAGACAGACAGAGAAGAGACCACATTAGCCTTGTCTACATGCCTCAGAGGACACAACCTGCCTTGGGGAACATAACACCACTACTACCCAGGTCATCCTAGAGGGAATAGTGGCAAAACACACCACAGCACAGCTCAGTGAGTGAATGGATGGGTGAGGCCAGAGTACCCCCACCACACACACACACACACACACACACCAACCCAAACTGCTGTGGTTAAGTTAGAGTTACTTCAGGCTCCATCAGTCCGTCCTTGAGGGCTTAATTCATCACCCATACAATCAGGATCTAAAGCCCTATGAAGATAAAGTAGTCCAGTACTAGTGTGAGAGAACTGGAGAAAACATGCTTGAGTAGGCAGTCAGTCCCCCTCGCCTGGCAATAAGAAAATATTTCAAAATGGATGCCAGTTTCCATCTTCAAGATAATTATTAAAGATTTACAGCTAAGGGGAAATGGAGGCAGGCAGGAAGACTGAGGTAGACATTACACCCAGTAACCCTGTCTTACAGGCACGTGAGCGCATACACACACACAGAGAGACAGACACATTTCCCCCAAATGGGTTAAAAAACAAGTTCATGCAGCATTTCATAATAATTTCAGACAGAGGACTGAAACTGTGGGATTCGTTTTTTTCCTCCTTCATCCAAATGAAATCAAGCAAAAAGAGGCAGCCACAACAACAAATTAAACATGTAAGAATGATAAAAAGAGCCCAGTGGCTTTCTCTGCTCTGAGTTAGCATGGTTGTGGAAATTACTTTGATTAATTTTGCCTCGTTATTCTGTTTCAAATGAAGGCCTCTATCCCATTTTGGGGGGATGAAATCATTTCAGTATCATTTCCGTATTCAGAATAAAATTGGGATGAAATGTTCTGTCTGCTACTGGAAGATGATTCATCTGTGTCAAAACAGCCATTAATGTATTAGCAGCCTGAAGTATTAGCCAGAACAAGGACATGTCCTAGCATCAACATGACCAACATGATCCATAGTGACCTCAGTTAAAGTACAAGCTGTCTTCACTCACAGAGGATGAGAGAGGTTGTAGAATGCATCACTTATTAATGCCCTTATGTAGACTGACAGATTTTGGTGGCAGAACAACATGCAACATTTATGGGCCAAAATCAGATATGACATAACAATGCTTCTGTGTGAATGTGTAAGCACGCTATTACAGGTCATAGCCTGACAATCAATGTAATTGCACTCTTGACCATCAGATGTTGATAATATAGGCCTAAGAAGGAATATTTAGAACAGTGTTATTAGTGCTGTGGATGTTTTGCTAAGAAAGTTATGCATCTTATGCAAAAACACATTTAGATCTTCCCCACTGGATGTATGAAGAACAAAGCGAAAACAACGTGTTGCATCATGAAGAAAAAAACATCAAGATCAAAACATTGCTATAGATTCTGCCAGGGCCAGCGGATTTTCCTGCTATTTTGACATACTGATATTTACTACCAGCAAACTGTTAAGTCTAGATCCTTCACTAGATGATGACATTGTCTCTGATTTTATTAGATACCATTGTCTCAGGCTCTGTATCCCTACAATAATACCCCACTGCAGATTCAGCTTTTAGGAAGCCTAATGATACTCTCATACAATGTCCACATAGTTCATAGGCATAGAATCGAATAATTCAAGTCGGCCTAATCTATAGCTTTTGTACAGAAATTCAGATGAACACATAGGCTTTCCTTCTCAAGGAAATGTCATTACAAGTAAAGATTTCAAAGAATTTATAGCCCCATCCAAAACATTTACAACTCTGCCCAGTCAATTAAATTGGATGAATGATCTCGGATCTGAAGGGAAGTATATATGATAGCCTATTAACAAGCATATATTTTGCAAAACATAAAACAAGTTAAGGATTATGATTTATTTCAGTCGTTTTCTTAACATATAAATAAACTTCAACTAATAGTGGAATTCACCTGTCAGAGTAGGCTGTAGCCTATGCGCAACATATAGTGAGTGTTTTTCAACCGCCATGTGAAGCAATGCTGCTATCGTTATGGGACAGGCACGGATTCTGCAGCAAGCAAGCATGTCTTGGTGCGCAATAGCAATGCCAGTCCAACCTGTCTCCGAATGCCCTATTCTGGAGGTGCTGAAACCCAGTATTTGGGGTATGTGCCCTGCTGTGCCCAACTGAACCAATGCACGTGTTCCAGTGGACAAAGAACTTGCTAAAACTGGCGAGTTTTCCGTGTGCAACACAGTTTGGATAGCATGGTATGATAAGCCATTACAGTGCTTGACGAAACGTAGTGCTTTAATCTTAATAAACAACGCTTTATTTATAAAACCACACGCATTTGGTGAATAAACATCACTTACGCTGCGGTTTTGTACTGAACAGTAAACCACTGCATGGCTGTGCGCGGAGTAACCGGCCAAGGCAAAAGTAGTGCTGGTTAGTTTGGGATTATCTCCTCTGGAAGTCCCTCTCCTCTCGTCCGTGTTCCACTTGAAGTCGAATCTGCCCGGTCTTTCTGTCCAGTAACGGATCAGGACTTCTTCTCTCATCCGAGGTATCTCCTTCCTAACCTGGGCCACCGGTCTTCAGGCTTTCGCTAAACATGGGGAGTTCGGGACCGCTTCGCTCTCACGTTTTCACTACACCCAGTTGAATCTTCCAGAGCGACTTCTGCAATAACTCCATAATCAGTGAACCTCGGCTCATCCTCAGAAACACCTGCCTGTTGGGTGTTGCTTAGTACTCCAGTACTTGGTTAGTGCTCCAGCCGGACCTGTTCCAGAGTTTTGGCCGCCTGGCTCGGACCAGCAGGCGCGCGTGTACCGGTTTCCAGCTGTAATTCCTCCAGGTGTAGCACAATGAGCAAATTATCTTCGCCTTGGCATTTAGCTGGGAATGAGCGGAGATCATAAACCAGCAACACAGAGTTAAGTGCAAGCAGGGGCGTCAGTTGGGCACGCCAATCTTAGATCAAGACCAAAAATGTAAAAGTAGGCTACAAAAAAGTAATACTTTTCTTTCATTCCCTTTTAAAATGCCACTGCTGTTTAGGGTACCGTCTGGTTGGCTTTAGGACCATGCATATCATCGCTCTGAGAGAAGCTACAAGCCTGTGCGTCTTTTAAGAAG